AGGGATACCTGCACTCCCACATTTATGACGGCTCTATTTACAATAGCCAACAGTGGAACCAACCTAAATGTCCATTGGACAACTGGATAAGGAAATGTATATATACACAATGTAATACTACTCTGATATTTAAAAGAATGAAATTCTGCCATTCGCAACAACATAGATAAACTTAGAGTAAAGAGTAAATTATGTTAAGTGAAATAAGCCAGGCACAGAAAGAGAAACACCACGTCCTCACTCATAAGTGGGAGCTAATAAAATGAATAAATCAAGCAAGCAATCAAGAAAGATAAACAATCACAGTAATTCGTTGAACTTTCAAAAGGAGAGAACGAAACTGAGGCTGGGAAAGGGGGAGGGGAAGAGGAGGTTTGCAAGAAATTGGTAAAGGGACGCAAGAAATGGGTAAAGAGGGACACAAAAAATGATTACAATGTGTACTGTTGAATATACTAATTATCCTGATTTGTGCATCACCTATTGCACACAGGTATTGATATTCGATGTTGTACCCCACAGACATGTACAATCAATTATGTTTCAATAAAAGTCATAATCCTCATGATCTCTAGAAATACATTTGTTTATTGTTTTTTTTTTTTATTCCCTTTTGTCTTTTTTACTGACCGGTAACGGGATCGCAACCCTCGGTGTCACGCCCCTACCGGGGACCGGCAACGGGATTGCAACCCTCGGTGTTGCGCCCTCACCGCGCTCAGCCAGTGAGCGGGAACCGGTCTCCACACGGGATCCGAACCCTCGGCGGGAGCGCTGCCGCACTCCCAAGCGGCGCACTCTCCAGTGCGCCACCGGGCCGGCCCGAAATACATTTGTTTTTAAATTCCATCTATTCTGATAATATTACTATACCATCTTCCTTTTGAAATGTATATTTTAGTCAATTTTCTTTAATCCTTTCCATATCTTTATATCATAGAGACGTTCTTGCTAATGGCTCATAGCTGGATTTAGTTTTTTTTTTTTTGGTGTGTCTGTGTGTGTGTGTGTCCGATAAGGGGATTGCAACCCTTGGCTTGGTGTCGCCTGCACCATGCTCAGCCAGTGAGCGCACTAGCCAACCCTATATAGGATCCGAACCCGCGGTGGGAGCGCAGCTGCGCTCCCAGTGCCGCACTCTCCTGAGTGAGCCACGGGGTCGGCCCTGGATTTAGTTTTTGCTCTTGTAGACTCTCAGCAAAAAAAACTCTCAACAAAGAAGTTTCTTATATTTACAATTGCTGTGATTACTGATATATTTAAACTCATTTTAACTTTATTTTTTTCATGCCCTTTTTAAAAATATGGAGTCTTTAATATTCACTTTGTAATATTTATCTCCAGCTGTATTGGTTACAGGACTAATTGATTTTTCATTTGAAGCTCTTGAAAAATCTTTTCTAAATACATATATCAAAAGAAGGGAGGGCCGGCCCGGTGGCGTACTGCTACAGTGCACCGCTTCAGAGCGCAGCTGCGCTCCCGCCGAGGGTTTGGATCCCACACACAGACCAGTTCCCGCTCACTGGTTGAGCGAGGGGCGGGCGCAGCACCGTGGGTTGCGATCCCGTTGCCGGTCCCGGTCCGGTACGGGCGCGACACTGAGGGTTGCGGTCTGTTGCCAAACATGAGAAAAGACAAAAAGGAAAAAAAAAAAAAAAAAAAAAAGAAGGGAGAAGAAGCTATAGTTGATGTCTGTTTCTCAAATGAATTGTCAGTTTTTCTCCCAATAAGATGATATGTTTGTGAGAATTTTGAACAGGGAAAGAATCTTACAGAGGCTGCCTAATTCTTTCTTTCATGAGAAAACTGAATCCTGGAAGGTTTAGTTAGATATGTTGTTCAAGGTCACAAACTGAGTTAGTAATTATGATGTGACTGAATTGAAGTCACCTAACTCTTTGTCTAGTGTTCCTTCCATGCTGTCCTTTAAGATTTATATTGTACAGACTGTTGCATGTCATCATTTCTGCAATATGACTGTAGCACGTCTTCCTGAAGGAGCTTGAAAATTGAATCAATTCTGAGATATGCATATTAAGTTAAGAAGCATGCAAAGCAGATGGCAAAATGCACAGGTATTGATATTCAACACTGTACCCCAGGGCCGGCCCGGTGGCGCACTGGATAGTGCGCCGCTTGGGAAGCGCGGTGGCGCTCCCGTCCGAGGGTTCGGATCCCACATACAGACCGGCTCCCGCTCACTGGCTGAGCGAGGCGCGGGAGCAACACCGAGGCTTGCAATCCCGTTGCCGGTCCCCGGTCCGGTACGGGGGCAACACTGAGGGTTGCAATCCGTTGCCGGACATGGAAAAAAAAAAAAAAAAAAAAAAAACACTGTACCCCACAGATAGTATTGATATTCAACACTGTACCCCACAGATATATACAATCAATTTTGTTTTAATAAAAATTTTAAAAAGAAAAAAAAAACTAACACAAAGCATCTCTAACCACTTCTAACAGCAACTATTTTTTTTTTTTCCTTTTTGTCTTTTTTCGTGACCGGTAACGGGATCGCAACCCTCGGTGTTGCGCCCGTACCGCGACCAGCAACAGGATCGCAACCCTTGGTGTCGCGCCCGCACCGTGCTCAACCAGTGAGCGGACCGGTCTCTATATGGGATCCGAACCCTCGGCGGAAGCGCCTCCGCGCTCCCAAGCGCCGCACTCTACCGAGTGCGCCACCAGGCCGGCCCGAACCGCAACTGTTTTTTAAACAAGATCTGTCCTAATATTGTTCAGAGAACTTTTGTGTTTAAAATTAAATTAGTTAAAATTCTCAAAGACTGGCAAAAAGGTATCTTATTTAAATTTAAAAGAAATTAGAAAAAATGTTAACAAGACTCTAGTTATCTTCTCATTAGTACTTTAGTATATTGTAACTAAGGCTTCTATACAACCACTTCTACAATGCCATTAATTTATAATGAAAGAAGTAAATACTTGATAATTTACCAAGTAGCAAATCAATATATTCTAAAATCTCACTAACAGCTGTCAGAAAATTACAATTTTTTTCAGATACAAAACCAAAGACTCCTATAAACTACTTCAAAACAGAATAATGGAAATAGTTTAACCTTCTACTTGTTTGTCTCTCATCCTTCCCCTACACCAAAGCACAATCCTTTTTTTTTTTTTTTGTCTTTTTCCGTGTCCGGCAACGGATCGCAACCCTCAGTGTTGCCCCCTCGCCTCGCTCAGCCAGCGAGCGGGAACCGGTCTGTATGTGGGATCCGAACCCTCGGGCGGGAGCGCCGCTGCACTTCCCAAGCGGCGCACTATCCAGTGCGCCACCGGGCCTGCCCCCAAAGCACAATCCTTGAGAAGTAAAACACATTACCAAATTACAGCATATAATCCTATATTCTCCGTATAAGGACTCAAACTTCTCTGTGGCAAGAAAAATATAGAGCAAGCATTTCTCAGGTAACAGCTAAAGAATGCTAAATAATGTTGAATCTTAAGATTTGTTAAATACAAGAGAACTATTTTTCAAAAGGTTTAACAGAATTAACATATTAATGATTGCTACTGCCATGAACTATTTAGTTAGCCTGCGAAAGATTAAAAGTTAGTCATATTCACCCCAGGTGGTATGGATACTACAGAAGTTATATACCTAAAAATGCAAAATATGCTCTGCACTTTAAAAGAGAAACCAGGGCTGGCTGGTTAGATCTGCTGGTTAGAGTGCGATGTTGTAACACCAAGGTCAGGGGTTCAGAACTCCATACCAGCCAGCTGACAAAAGGAAAAAAAAAGGAAACTAACATTCATCCTTTTTACCTCAAAGTAACATAAAATTTCTTAGCCCTCTCTAAATAGGTCTTAATGTAATCTGATTTTCATATCTGCCAATTAAAGGGCAGGAGAACAACAGTTAATGTGTCAGAATAACCAAATAGAAAGAAAGATCTAGGCACTTTCTTTTTTCCAGTATGTTTAGTTTTTTGGAAAACTAGCTTCCTAAAACCTTCATGAGGAAATTGTACAATTTTGTTTTACATAAAATATGTAGGACAGTAAAAATACAACTTCAAAAACAAAGATAAAACATCCTTAAAATTTTGCTTTAGGGTTAAAAAAACCTTGAAAATCGGAAGTTATATTAGATCATCAGAACTATACTGCGCAGTAGAACAAAAAATTACAGGAATGAAAAAATAACTTTATCAATTTTTTTAATGAATAAAACATTCAGAGTTTAAAGTTTAACATGTTTTAAGTTGTCCCCAAAGAAAAATGAGTACAGTTCCTGATTCTCTAACCTTATTTGTCTTTAAAACAAAGTATAAGGTAACTGTATTCTGGAACTCTTCAACCTCAAAAGAAAATTTTCTCTCTAAATCTCTCTTTCTCTGTCTCTCTCTCTCTTACTCACACACATACACACACACCTGTAGAACTGATCATTTTTTTTAAGAATCTATCACAATTCCACCTTACTGGCAGCAATAAGGCATTTCCAAACTATTAGAATGATCTATGCAGTTGAAGTCTCCCCAAAATACTTGTTTTAATTCTTGTTAGATGTTTAAAATATTAGATTCACTTAGAACATTTGAGAAAAAAATTCTATGCCTTGTACAAACTGTCAAAACCTACACTAGAAAATGAATGACTAACTACAATTTTCTGACTTATGCTTGTTTTTGCACAGTTGATGCCAGAGATAAGATATCTCCAAAATTCTCTATTACATTCTCATACTCAATTTTCTACAAAATCTAGATTTGCAAGTTCTACAGTGTAGGCAGAAAACAGAGAATATTCTGTATATTAATTCAAATTATTTTCATAGTGTATTACTTACATTTAAAAGAAGTGAAATAACCTTCCTTACACACACCCTGTATAAGAGATGACAGTACTAAAAAGTTCACAGGATGTTCAACATTTCAACATTATAGCTCTTCAAGATGTTGCCCTCCTGGTAAAACATTAATTTCTTTTATTCTCTTAACATCTGTGGTTGATCCAGTATACTTCCTTACCCCAGTCTGTTCCATCGCCTGCGCTTCTAGATTCACTGTCTCCTTCCTCTGATGTAACCAAGAAGTCAAACTCCTTTAGAGCTTCTTTTGTATCTCGATCTTCACTGCTATCAGGCAATGCTTTTTTCCTAACAATCTAATGAGAAAACATGCTAAATTAAAATATTAAATTATGGATGTAATTTAAATAAAGGAGATAGTATCCCCTTACCATCAAATGAGAAAACTCAATTCAGTTATTTTCTTCAGAAAGTATACCTTTGGGGCCGAGCCCGTGGCGCACTCGGGAGAGTGCGGCGCTGGGAGCGCGGTAGCGCTCCCGCTGCGGGTTCGGATCCTATATAGGGATGGCCAGTTTGATGCGCTCACTGGCTGAGCGCAGTGCGGCCGGTCACAAAAAAAAAAAAAAAAAAAAAAAATATACCTTTGTGTGTTAAATAACTGTACGACCTATCTAACTCAAAGACAGGTATCATTTTTAAAAGATACATATTATACATTTTAAAGAAGTAATTTAACTTTGTCCAATGGTATAATATCTTTGTTTTAAATAAACTAATGGAACCACATATTGAAATCACTGGAATAGAAGAAATATATTTTAATTACAGATAGATGAAAAAAAAAAAAGTTCCTGTTTCTGACATACTATATTATGAGAACCACAACGAAATCTTACATTCATGGATGCAATCTGTGCAGGTTACAGACATTCTAATCTAAACAAAAGAGAAGACACTTCATAAATCATTACAAGAGTTTTTCAGAATATAACCATGATAAATTTTAATACAATTCCATCACTCCCTCACAAAACCTAAAATCACAAAATCTACAAACTCAGAAATGCATGTCTTAAGACTTCCAAGGTACTCCGGTAAGTTCCCATTATTATTTCTACTGTCCTAACCTTGCATCAGTTTTCTCTAATAGCTCTCTACCATATTCAATTTTTTTCTAAAATACTGATATTTCAGAGTGAGATCTGACTTAGACTTAATACCAAATTTGCAGCTTCTTTCAATAAAATGACTCAACATCTCAACTTCCCCAGACTTCAGCTTCTTCACCTCATGCAAAACAGAAATACCATTATGTGATAAAACTTTACCCCTAGACTATTCTGAATGGTTTAAAGTTACAAAGGTTTAACAGAAAGATCAATGGGACAGACTAGAGAGCCCAGGAACAGACCCTAAAAGATAACACTTGACTTGTATGGCCCTATTCCCATGCTCATAAGTAATATCACCTATCAATCACAGTACTTTTCATCAAAGATGAGATACAGCCTCAGAAATCCTTCTCAACACAGCACTCCAGGAAGCTAGTACCAATAGAACAAAGCTGGCATAGCAGATGAAACCTATCTGCCTTAACTCTCCTGGTTTATATAAAAACTGAATAGGAGAAATCAAGGATTATTTAATGATGCCAGAATAATTGGCTTAACTATTTGGAATATTTCCCTACTATCAAGAAATACTTCAGTGCTTACAGCATTTCTCAATCTAATATCAAGCAAATCTATTAAACAAACACAAAAAAGCAAGATTAGTGGCAGACTGTGAACCTAAAACCTACGCTAAATATGCGTGCATTCTATTGTAAATACTCACAAACCATATACTAATAATCTGCTCTAATTTTCCCTGGGCAACCAGACTGAGGTAGAAAACTGTCTGAAAAGCTATACAAACAGGACTCCCTAATCCTCATCATTCCATATACAAATGTATTATTGCCTAATCCACCTTCTTTTACCCTAGAGGCTTGATCCCTCCCTCTTCCTGATCCTGATGGGATGCCAGAGAGGCCATCACCAACATCTTGTAGATAGAGTCCTTGTGCTCACTGCCTGACAAAAAGGGCAGGGTAAACCCAGAAGTCCAAACGTATTTTTGACATTCGTTATTACCATATATGGTATCAAGTCACAAAAGCAACTCTTGGGCAAAAATCTGTTTCTAGATCTCAAAAAATGAAGATAAATGGCAAGTTTATCACTGTAATTGCAGATCACTACCAAGTATCCCATTTTAAATAAATAAACCAAAAGTCCTGTGTTTTTAATGTTTAGGTATAGAAGAAAATGATCTGTGGTTTCCAATGGAGAGCAGGATTAGGAAACGGGAAGGGGTTTATAATAAGAAGCATGTATTACTTTTCTTCCTTACAAAGGTTTCACTCCACTCATAGCTTCAATGAATTTATGAATCAATTCAATAAAATGAGGCAAAAAAAAAAAAAAGTTACAGGTACCAAGTCAACTGAAAAAAAGAATAGACTGCCACTTTGAAAACCATTAGAAAAAGCATAACACAAAGGAGGATGGTGATTCTTTACACTGAGACTACAGCAATATTTAATGATGCTTAATCCCATTACTTTTTCCTCCTAAAGTTCTGAATGTGGAGACTATAAGTAATCTTGAGATGATTTAAAGTATACGAAAGGATGTGCATAAGTTATATGCAAATACCATACCATTTTACATCAGGGACTTGAGCAAGATTTTGGTATCCATGGGCGGTCCTGGAACCAATTCACCACAGATACTGAGGGACAACTTTAATCTAGAATGTAATCCAAGGAACAGTCAAACTCCACAGAGGACAAAGAGAAAGAATGGAGAGGATATGTGGCTTTGAAGACACTGCACTACAATAGCCTAAACATAACCAGCAGTTACTAAGAGCCTTGTTTCTTTATTTTCTTAGATATATCTATTAAACTATTTTGATTAAAGAAATAAAATAACATTTTAAAAATATGTTTGTTCTACTTAACATTTTAATAGGATAATTTTTGGCCATTCTCTCTCTATACATGGAATGCAATAAATTTTCTAAGTCAGGCTTATTCATTGTACACAGAGTTAGATTTTTAAGGTCTTTTTGGTATATAACTATTAGACTGCGGCTGTGAAAATTAATGTAATATAATGTAAAAATTAGCAAAACTGTTACAACAAAAACAATTATTTGTTTAGAAATTTTTTTCTGAAAAACGTAAAAGAATTTTTAAGTACGGTGTTTGAATGGGGTTTTAAGCCTGTTCACTTTAGATGTGCCTTCATTGTTTGGTCAAAGAATTGCTATGATCTGCACTAATTGGAAGACAGTATATTTATAAACTTGATTCTTTAAAAAGAAAACAGTCTATGGTTAAATACTTCTAGTAAGATCATACATAATAGTTTTAATGATCAGTTTACAGATTTGTAAAATATTTAAATTGATATAACCAGTAACAAACTTATAGGATCATAATTAGTATTTACTACTGAGCTATGAATAAAGTATTTTGATGGGAAAATAATATCTCAATACAATCATCCCATAGAAATCACAAGGAGTTAATTTCTAGATGGTCAGGTCAGAGAAAAAGTGTCACAAGTTTAGGGTTTTTCTTTTCCTACAGTAAATTAAGATATGTGCTGGTTAAATAAGAAAAATTTGGGGTGACTACCTGAAGTTCAAATAATATCTATGGCAAGGCTGTATTAGCAACTACTACTGAATAGCAGCCCAGGGAAATAATAATCTGGCAATAATAATTTGAGAGTCTTTGATAGAGCCCAGGTAGCAGAGGGTATAAAAAACAGAGAAGGTATACTCTATTAGGTTTATTTTCATATATAGTATCTCTTTTGTTCTTTACAAAATCCTCCAGGCATAAGACATTTATTATAATTCCCATTTTACAAACTAACAAACTAGGCCTAAAGCATTACGAAGCACAATTACTGGCAGAACTGGGACTTAAACCCAAGCCTGTCAACTCTAGGTCCAGTTTGTTTTTTATTGCTTTACTTTCCTCCTCCCATTCTTAAACAAATAGGAAAGTGGAAATACAAACATTTTCCTAGACAAAAGCAAAGCATGTTTTCATCTCTTACTTTAAAAAAGGAGGAGGAGGAAGAGGGGAAAAGAAGGAAGAAGAGACACAAGGGAGAAGAAGAGGGGAAAATTGAAGAGAAAGAAAAGGAGGGAGAAGGAAAAGGGAGAGAGATGGATGGATGTAAGAAAATGGAGAAGGGAAGAGAAGGAAGAAGCAGCAATTTAGCGACAACTATTATTCCAGGAAACTGCTACAGGAAAGTCATTAAACGTATAAAGGTCTAAACAAAACTGCAGAAGAACCCTAAACAATGTTGAAGAAATCTAATAGAAGAATTCCAGAAATCTGTAGCACTTCTCTACCAAAGCAACCCTGACTGAAAGAAAAACTGCATCAATTAGAGCTGGCGCTAGTTGCCATCAGGCACCACGATGTGTCTTACAGTGACCAATAACTCTGCATTATTATCATACACATTTGCTATATTCACCAATACTACAAAAATGTTCTCATGTTTAATGAATTAACAAAAAGTCAAAGAGTGAGGACTTTTAAAAGAAAGCTGATATACTAAAAACTCTCTTTAATTCTAAATCAAAACTAAAAACTCTTTTAGCTTAAATTTCCCCAAATTCATGGGGAAAAATGTTACATGGTTAGACTGAAAATATGGATTATTTTTAAAGTATGCATGATAGTCCCTAAAAGCGTTTATATTATCTGTGTTATCTAACTCACTGTTGAAGTATCAATGACGCTTTTCTCTCTTCCATCAATGTCATCGTCTTCATCTTCATCACTGAAATCTGCAGCTGCACTTTCAAGGAATTTGAAATTATCCAGAACGGAGGTGGAATCTGTTAACTCAGATTTTCTGGTTTAAAACATACACATCCTGCTCAGTTAATCTTTTTAACATCAGCCTAAGAATTAACCCATATGTTGCACTAACTTTGTTTATATTGTAACTATGATCCCCAAATCATATTATGATCTACATTGATTCTTATCTATTACATTCCCAATTGATTCTTATGTATTACATTCCCACGGATTAACTGAAAAAGCAATATAGGACGTGGCTACTCTTTTGAAAGTATTTTGCAATCATACTACTTAGATTAGTGGTAATCTTATGTAAAAAACTCCCCCTCCTCCTGATTCAATATTATTTTGATCCTTCTGTCAATCTTACTACACTTTTTAAAAAATATTTTTCTTATTATCCCTGCCTCCATTTTTCTCTATTCTTCTCCTCTCTGCCACTCTTCCTTTGACCTCTTATATAAATTTCCAATTCTAAGAAAATAAGTAGGAAATATGTCATTTTTCTCTGATGCAATCTTGTATTTCTCCTGAACAACTAAAGAGGTGAAAAGAGCAAATGTCCACATAAAGTTACTAAGAACAATATATTAGTCAAATTAACATTACTACAAGACTTGATCCTGTTGATGGATAAATCATTAATTTTTTAGAAATGACTAAATTTTCGAATATATAAGACTTGATTTTAGTTCCCTTAAAATAAATTTAATAAATTGTTTCCTAATGGCCAGAACAGAATGATTTCTCTCCAGTTCATTAGGAAATGTTTTAGATAAGAAGGCATCTTCCTGAAAAACTGCTGCCACAACTATTGACAAAATTTTCAAAACAGGTACATCTTAAATCCACTTAAGATTTAAATCTGCTGAGAGCTGTGTTTTTGGTTCCCACCCCCCTCAATTCTCTATCCCTAAAGAAATCTGACAAATTCAGAATAATATCCTTGTCAGTTTCAAAAGACAGGTCAAAGCCAAAACACACAACAGAGTGGTCTTTTCTGAAGGTCTTTACTGAAGGTTTTTAAAGTGTGCATTATAGTGCCTAAAAATATTCATATTATCTAAGTTAACTTAACAATTTAAGACAATCCATAAGATAAAAAATTCAACCAGGACTAATGCCCACACAGTCTATGTTTACACAGAGAAACAATCTAAACCTTACATTGCTAAATAATGTATTGTTAGTTATTACTGAATACATTTAAGAAGCCTCCAATGACATTTGTTTTAAAAGTCCTACTTTGAACCTTTACTTAATCCCATAATTTTGGTTTATATTCCAAATAACAGGAACTATGTTCTCACTAGTAAATTTACAGAGTTCAACTAAAACCATTCTTTCAGGCTAAGCATGTATTATAATAAAAAAATATTGTACCTAGACATTCAAAGAATCTTTGGCTTTTTTACTCAATTAAGAATCACGGCAAATTTTTTCCAATAAAGAAGAATCTCCTTATTGAACTGTTTATGTTCACTTTAAGTAGAATTATATGTAATTGGAGGGTACATGATCCAAAAAGAAAAACAAAATATTTCAAACAGCTACTGAATTTTTCACACTTATTCTATTAAAATATAATTAAAATGGATATTTTATATCAAAGGAAAGATGAGTTACAGCATTATTAAACAAAAATGGTTAAGAAAAGGTTTACTTCTAAAGAATTTGAGGTATTTTTATGATTTCTGGGTCACCAATAATGAAATTTCATTCTTAGAGATTTGTACTAAATTTCCAAATAAGATCTTTTATGAATTTCTAATAGTAAGTGACTGAGCATCAAGATATTAAAATCTATATTAAATATATAAATTTCAAGCAAATAAAAATGTCCTAAATAAAAAATTATATCCTTGAATTAAAATCATAAATAACTCCAATCCCTGTTTGCCTTCTAACCAAATGAAATTCAAAAATTTTATTAAACTTAATTATAATTAAATTATTTCTACATCACTATCTAAAAGTACAAGTAACATCCATAAAACCAAAAAATACTTAATAAGAACTAAAATTAAAGCTAAAACACTTTCCAGACAAAATACTTACCCAATCATTGCTGTCTCTTTAACTTCAGCCTCTGTGCCATTTATAACTGAGTCCTGATTTTTGTCATCTTCCCTGTCAGTGACATCACTTGAAAAACCCAACAAAGCTCTCACTCGTTTAGATTTCACGTCTAGAATGGTATCCGTGTAACCCACCTCCTGTAGATACCTGTGTGAAGAGGATCCTTACAATTCAGTCATACTGGAATCAGTTTTCTACAAGTATAATTTAATGTGCAAATAAAAATATTTCTTTAAATTCATTGCCTGCATAAGACTGAACAGTGCAGTACTATGCAAGAAACATTTGTTAAATAACCTTCCAGCTGCAGATGGAGCTGTCTCTTGCAGTACCAGGCTCTACAGTCACTGAGGAAAATCAAAGAACTATACACCATTCATTACATTTATCATAAGAAGAAGCTGTTCCTTAATATATCTAACAGCACATTCTTTCCTGTAGGGAGAATTAGAGCAAGCTCACTCTCAGACTCTACCAAATTACTGTTTTATAATAGTGATTCCAGGAGTTTTTTACATTTCTAATGTAAATTGTCATGGATCAATTGAGATCAACTGCTAGAAAGAATGTTTCTAGCATATATAATTTCCTCCATGACATACAAGACAGTATTTGCCTGAGAGTCAATTATACAAAAGAGAAGCCTCTATTCAAAATACTAAAAGACAAAGATTATCCTGAGACAATTCTAAAATAAAAATAGACCGCAATTAAATTGTGGGATGTGGGGGGTGTGTGTCGCAGAGATGCAGCAGCATAGAAAACAGGACACAGGCTTTGTATTAAGAATTAGATCTGGGTCCTAGGCCCATTTCTGCCACTTACTTGCTCATAACTTTAATTCTCCTGAACCTCAGTTTTCTTTTCACCAAAACAGACACACTAGGGCTGGCCAGTCAGCTCAATTGGTCAGAGCAAAGTGTTATAACAGCAAGGTCAAGGGTTCAGATCCCCATACTGACCAGCCACCAAAAACAAAACAAAACACAAACAAACAAAACCAGACACATCTAATACTGCACCTTGCATACAAAAAGCACTCAGTACCTATTAACCCCAAAGGTGACCAAAAAAGACCAAAAGTGGCAGTGGCAGGATCATGAAAAAGGCAAATGCCATTCATAAACATGATAAACAAATGTTAGGCATTAACTTATAAGTAGGCATCGAGTCTACTAGATGAAGGAAGAAAACAAAGGTTGACAAGATAAAGTTTAAGTTCAGTTTATTTCAAGATTTTAAAAATTTTTTAGTTGAAAGATATAGCTCACAAAGATGTGATCAAATGGAATAAATGTATCTTGTCAAATCAAGATGCTCATTTTCAATCCCATCCAATATTTATAGAACAGTCTTGATTAAAATTTGAATAATAAAATTCCAACTTTATTGAATTTAATTAGTTCTTCTTGTAAACTACTACAAGGGTGCTACGTTTTTCTATTTTTAACAAATAATATTTGATACACAACTCATTCTGGCAACAAAATGACATTACAAATATCTGTTTCAAAACTGCTCTTGCCATAGATAAGTTGGTTTCACTAAATAGTTATTTCTTCATACACTAATAAAATGTTACCTTTACTTTGAGGGGCAGATTATGGGTCTTTTGAAGTTTTTGAAATACCTCTTGTATGGCTCATTATGAAACCACATCTCATTTAAAAAAAAAAAAAAATCAGCATTTTTAAGAACACATCTATTTAAAAAAAGAAAATGTGTAAGTCCTATTTAAGACCAAACTAAGGGTACTAGTGAATATCCACTTATGAAATATAAGTAAAGTCTCGTTTTCTTCTAGCTTTGTCTAAATAAAAAATAGATATGAGAAGACATTTTAACATTCTCTTCCCATAGTCAAAAGGAATGGCTGGCATGCACCCACTTTGGAAACCTTAGGTTTACACTACTCACAAGCAACCCCAAAGGTCCAAAAGAGGTAGCAAATTTCATAGTATGAGGCACAAATATGAATGCCAGTGTCAAAGGTGGTATGCAAGGACCAGGCACTGAGCTGGTGAATGAGTCTATACCACCACCTGACATGAGAACCTCAGCCCAGCTTTGTTTCCTCTTTATAGTCTCAAATACTCATTTTATAAGAGGAAGTATACATTAGGCAATGTTTGCAAATTTGAGGAATTCAAAAAGTTCTTCAATCTATTTAAAATAAAAAGTTTAAAAGCATAACACAAAATTACATGTAAACACTAACTGGACTTACATTAAAACATATGTATATTCATGCATAAAATGTGCAATGAAAAGAAAACTTTAAGGGTATAAAATTCCTTTAACTACGTAAATCCACCAGAGGGAAAAAGTATTTAATATGAAAAAAGGAATAGTAATTCAATTAAGCTTTTTCAGAGCAATAGGGTAATTATACAAAAGATAAAATTATCTTGTTGAATTGAAAGTAGAAAATAAAAATAATCTCATAATGTTTCTCATCTTCAACCATTTATTAGTTGACCTTGGGATACTTACTGTCTGAGTAGTTGTCGACCTTGTTTCCACATTAATTGGCTGTTTTGTTGTGGCTGCACCTCTGTTTCATTACCTTCATCTGAAAAATATTAAAGCATACCAAAGCTGACTTGCTTTACATATTAGAGGGTATCCCAATTCATAAAAAATGCCCAATAAACATTTACAAAATTAATAATATTTGAAACTACAGCCGTAAGGTATGTTTTAGGAGAAAGTAAATTTTGTTTTTAACTCTAATTTCCATAACAAAACTCTAATATAAATTAATCATTGCTCCCGGATTCCCTTTAGAGTAGCGGAACTAAAATAAAGACATTTTCCCTATCGTTGGCTAGCCTGAGAATTTTCCTCCAGGACAAAAACCTATCCAGTCAAGTCACACAATATGAGCCAAATAAAAGCACTATAAAGTAACACATCAGAACTCAAAGAAAAGACCCAGAAATGATGGCAGAAAAACCAGTTTGGTAAAGAGCAGATATATAAGAAATAATCTCAATACAAATGTTTCCTTCATGAGCTATTAAATAAAAACTTCATATATTCTTTTAATGAGATTCTTTGAACGAAAACCTCCTAAGCCTTTTAAAGCTTAAATTCATCATTAGGTAAAAGCTGAATCCTTTCAAGAAGGTAGTAAAATAAAAAGAGCTTTCTTGTAACAATACGAAAAAGTTCATACTTCTTATCAGCCCTTGATCAAACTATAATAAACTGCAGATCTTTAAAGGATCTTATTCAAGTGGAGATATAAGAGGGACTGGGAAAATTTGTTTTGTGATAGATATTAGAAATTAATCATTTACTATGTGTTTACTGTGTTCCAGACAACCTCAAATGATAGGTGTTTAGCTCCTTTTTAAAGATAAGATAGCTGAGTTTTAAGATAATTTTCAGGTTTCTTAGTTAGAAACATAGCTCTAAGTGTTGGAATCCTGTCTGCTTCTTCCAGAGCCCCAGCATTTTCCTCCACATGCTGTCGCTACAATGATAGAAAACTGGAAAAATATGTGAAAAAAATAAGAATTAGATCTTGCATGTTTGTTTTTCTCCTAAAATAACTCTAAAATAACTGGGCCAAATTAGGTGATATAGCAAAGAAATAGCAGCAGAGTAGACTGGAGTTAGGGGTGGGAAGAAGAAAATGAGGGGAATTAAATTAACTCCAAAAGGAATATTATTTGGCGATAATTTCAAAGGGGGTATACTTAAAAAAAAAAAAAAGAAGGCAAAAACAATGTCCCAGTACTAAGGAAAAGCAATACATCTTTTTTCTACTGACCCACAAATACAGGAACTGGGTATATAACATTCTGTGTTCCAAGAAATCCCCTTCTTAAGTCAAGTGAGTAACCTGTACTTGCCAAGTAAGAACATTTACACTGGCATTCAAGACTTTAAAAATCTCGGATGTGAAAAGAAGTTTTGAGGTCACTTAAACTCCAATCAGAATAGGTCTAAATCCTTCCTATGCCATCCTCAGATATATTCGACTGCCTCTGCCTACCTCGGCAGCTAGTGATGTTACATCACTTCATATGGAACATTATGTTCATCAATTCAATGGAACACTACTCGACAAGAACAAGGAATCGTCTACGGATACACCAATATGGATGAACCTCAAATGCATTATGCTAAGTGAGATAGGTCAGAACCAAAAGGCTATATTCTGTAAGATTCTGGAATTCATATGATTTTCTGGAAAAAACAAAACTATGGATATGGAAAAGAGATTAGTGGCTTCCAAGAGATTAGAGTAGGAGGGGAGAGGTTGACTACATAGGGTAGTAGTTACAAGATTATAGTGTTTGTGAAAACACAAAACTGTACATTTTATTAAATGTAAATTATACCTTAATAAAAAATAAATTAAGACAAATCAAATAAGGATGCACCTCCACCTTCTTCAGAAAAAAGTGTAGTCAGATGAACTCTGACTCCCTGAGAAACATTTGAAGTAAAAAAAAAAAAATTCAAATTAGTAAGTAGTGATTAACTATCAGATTCATCCTTGCTTTATCAAGTTCAAAAAATGACATTATACAAAAGTGAGGATTTTAAAGCGGATAATAGCTAAATTTCCTGGTAACATTAGAAGTATTTCATTGCCACTTCCTGTCAAATTGAAGTCATAGGGACTCTTTTAACCTCCTGCTTAAAACAATCACAAAACAAGTAGATAAAACAATGGTTTCAAAACACTAGACATCAGACAACAAAGGACAGTGATCCCTACCAGAAGAGAAGCAAACAGGTGAGCCTTATGATTGTCCCAGTTTCCAGATATAGCATAAGACAGGCAATAAAAACAATACATGAAAAAATAATAGCTGACAAGTTCCAAATTTCATGAAAACTATAAACCCAAAGACCCAAGAAACTCAACAAATCCCAAGCATAAGAAAAACTGCAGGAGAGGTAACTACACCAAGGCACATCATAATAAAATTGTTTAGAACCAATGACAAAGAGAAAAATCTTAAAAGTAGCCAGAGGAAAAAGGTCACACATATTATACAGAGGAACAAAGGGAAGGATGACAGCAGGTATCTCATCAGAAACAATGCCACTGAGCAAAATAAAGACTTTTTCAGATGTACAAAAACTGAATGAAAGAATTCATTAGCAGCAGTCCATATTATCCAATACGGTAGAAGAAGTCTTTAAAGCAGAAGGAAAATAATACCAGATGGAAATACACACCTTCACAAAGGAATGATAAGCACAGGAAATATTTTTTCATATTATTATTTTTTAAATCTCTTTAAAAGAGAATTGACTGTTGAAACAAAAAAAAATATGCATGGATTTTTTTTTTTTTTCTTTTCTTTCCAGCAGCTGTCCAGTCCAGGGATCTGAACCCACGACTTCAGTATTGTAAGTCTGTGCTCTAACCAACTAAGCTAGCTGGCCAGACTCAAATCAAAAATAATTAACAATATAGTGTGTGGTTTATAACACATACAGAAGTACAATAAAAGTAAAATATGAGGGTACTTCATAAAGTTCATGGAAAGATTTGCGTTATCTTTTAATTTTATTTTTTCATAAACTTTTTGAAGTACCCTTGCAGGATAACAATAGCACAAAGACTTGAAGAGGAGAAATAGAGGCAGTGTTAAAAGGTTCTCACACTATCCGTAAAGTGGTATACTGTCACTTCAAGATAGACTGTAATAAGTTAAAGATGTATTCTATAAATCTTAAAGCAACCACTGAAATAACAGTTATTGCTAATAAGTTAGCAAGAGATAAAATAGAATCATTAAAAATACTTAATTAATCCAAAAGAAGGCTTATAAAGGAAAAAAGGAACAAAGAACAGATTGAACAAATAGAAAACAAATAGCAAAGGTGGTAGAGTTAAACCTAACCATATCGATAATCACATTAAATGTAAATTATATAAACATCTCAATTAAAAGGCAGAATTTGTCATTCTGCACAAAAACATCCAATTTTCAATAACTATCTCATTTGTAATATTAAATAGGAGAAACCAAAATATCGAAGGTAAATAGATTTTAACACAGCCTAAGATAATATTCTCCTTAGGCAGAAATATGAAGGTCTGAAAGTGGAAAAAAACAGAAAAAAGAAAAATCAGAGGGGAAAAATAAATTTTTGTGGAAAACGTTTTAGAAAATGTCTGGATTATCAGTTTTATGAAAATACAGTAAATGAACAGAACAAAGAATGACAAAATCTCTGCTTCTTTAAGGTTTATACTATTTGGGTACAAAACCTTCTACAGTCTCCTACTCACTGTTCTTAACACTGTCATCTTTAAATCCCTAGATAACCCTCCAAACCTGGCTCACATGATTCCTCTGCAACCACACTTCTACTTCATCCTCAGTGAAGTCAGTATTCATGTGAGTGTTAAATTTTTGCTCCACAACCACCACCCTATCTGTCATACCTTAGACCTTGTCATTATGAAGAACTGTCACAGATGGAAACTCACTCTCTGAGCATATATATCAGGCTCAATTACTCCCAATTCACTAGTTCTCTGATTTAGCTGGGACTTCCAGACCAGGGGCCAGCAAACTACTGCCTACAGGTCAAATCCAGCCTGTCACCCGTTTTTATAAATAACATTTTATTGGAACCCAGACATGATCATTAATTTATGTACTGTCTATGGATGGTTTCATGTTATGACTGGGGTTCCATGTTGCATGGCAGAGTTGAATAGCTGTGACAGAGAAGACGTAGCCTGAAAAGCTCAAAATATTTACTATCTGGTCCTTTACAGGAGAAGTTTGCTGACCTGCTCAAGACCAGCTTACCCCCTTTACTTTTAACTTACCCATTAGTCTCCTTTTGTTTTCTCCACTTCTTCTCTCTCCAGTTTTAGTTCATGATCTATCACTTCCATCATTCTTTTGCCAATGTCCTCAGTTTTCCTGTCCCTTTGTCTCTCCATGAACTCAGTGAATTAAACAATTAAATATTTGCATTCTTTGTCTTTACCCAGGCTACCAAATGTGCAAACTAGTGCCTTTACGTAAACTCATGATCACACACCTCAACTGTGCCCTTAGCTTTTCTCAATCTTACTATTCCCTAGTCAGTTTGTACTACTGTTCACCATCACTATTTTAAAATTTCTTTACTCTTCTTAAACAACTGATCTGCAGACAATCCTGTTGCATACATAAAGCTATCATATGGACATTCCCTTAAATACTTACCAGCAAACTGAAACCCAAACCTATAAACTTGTTACCTAACTTCTTACTTTGTCTCTTGGTAACAATAAAAGACATGCTCCTCCTTGTCATTCTCCAGCAACGCTCAGAATCCAATCCCTATGACCTCTTCAGATACCTTCCGATTTTGAGTATCTCTACTCTCTCCTTTTTAATGGCTCCTCTTCTAGGAAACATCACACACACACACACACACACAAACACACCCCTTCCTTGACCACATGTGTCCTTACAGCTATTGCCCTCTAATACTGCTCTGTCATCTTCACAATCTAGGCTTCCTGAAAGCTGACAACACTCAGTCTTCATTTTGTACTTATGTCTGTTTCTGCCCTTGCCTCTCTCCTAAAACTGCTTGCAATAAAGTTCTCAGTGACTTGTGAGTCATCTTTGACTCATCCTTTCTTTCACCCCCTACATCCAATCAAGAACTAGTTCTTGCGCATTTTACTTCCAAAATATTTCCTGAACACACCCACTTCTCTTCAACTCTACTGTTAGTACCCTTGTCAAAGCAAACTTCCTCATTTACCCAGGTGGCTATTAAGACCTCTAACCAGTCTCCCCATCTCCAATTCTGCTCCTCTCTAATCCATCTTCCGCACTAAAGTCAGTGTGATATAAAAATAAATTTGATGACAACAGTCTTAATTAAGATAAAATGCCTTCTCATCACAGTTAGGATTAAATGCAAACTCCCTTAATGTATTTTACAAGGCCTTTGTAACATATTTTACCCCCCTGGCTAACTCTTTAGCTGCACCTAGAAATACTCCTTCTCTCTCTTCCACTACTATTTCTCAAATGTGCCATACACTTATTTCAGAATCTTTGCTGCTAATACTCTGCCTTTCCCCCACCTCTCGTTCAACAAATGTTTAATCAGTCTATTTGTCCTTACTAAGTCCTACTTGTCCTTCAGATGTCAAAGTTAAACATCATTTCCTCTAAGAAGCCTTCCTTGACACTCAGAATAGATTTGGTTCCCTGCTATTGTGTTCAATATCACCTACTACTTCCCTACTATACATGTCATATTTTATTATAATCATTTTGTTAACTATCTATCTTCCCTGTAAAAATCCAACAGGGCACTGCTATCTTACTCACCGGATTTGGTGCTGGGTCTGACAAGCATTATATATTTAGTATTTGTAAGATAATGAATGGTTGGAGAGATGGATAGATGGACTGATACCAGGTACTAACTACATATCATATACTAAGAAAAATGTCTGAGTTAGGAATTATTCCCAGAATCTTTCTCAGCTTATAGATGAGAAATGGAGCAACCCCAGAGAAATTAGGTAATATCACAGGGATTTAAAGTGTCAAGGCAGAGTCAAAGTTAACCTATCTGATTTCAAAGCCCAAGTTCTTTCTACTGTGCCACACTGTGTACTCAAACATTTTTTTATATATTGCAACTAGACCTTTACACTCCTTGTGATATTGTGAAATATATATTTGGTTTTCATCCTAGTGCCCTGGCATACAACTCCTAAAATCCTTAAAATCTCCAAAGTGATGTCTTTTTGTATGCTAATAAGTTGACTAATGGTTGGCAGCCCCCAGGTAGCTGGGATGGAGGCTGGTCACCAGAAAGACTAAGGCAGTGTTAGAGGATTGGGACTTTCAGCTTTACCCTCAGCCTCTGGGGAGGGGAGAGGAGTTGAAGGTTAAGTTGATCACCAATGGCCAATGATTTAGTCAATCATGCCTACATAATGAAGCCTCCATAAAAACCCAAAAGGACTGAATTTAGAAAGTTTCCAGATAGCAGAACAAGTTGAGGTTCCTGGAGGGTGGTGCCACTGGAGAGGGCATGGAAGCTATGCGCCCTTTTCTCACCCTATGCACTCTTCATCTATATCCTTTGCAATATCCTTTATAATTGGTAAACATAAATAAGTGTTTCCCTGAGTTCTGTGAGCTGCTCTAGCATATTAATTAAACCCAAGGAGGGGGTCAAGGGAATCACAACTTATAGCCAACTGGTCAGAAGGACAGGCAAAATAACCTGAGGCTTGTGACTGGCATTGGAAATAGAGCTCAGTCTCATGGGACTAAGTCCTCAACTGTGTGATCTGAGGCTATCTCCAGGCAGACAGTGTCAGAATTGAACTGAATTAGAGGACATCCAGCTAGTATTCACTGCAGAACTGACTGACTGCTTAGTGTGACGGGAAACCGCACCCCCCCACCAGACACAGAAGTCTTCTCTGTTGATTGTGGTATGAGAGCAGAAAAAAATTTTTTTCCTCTACATCCACAAAACTGTCATCTACTCACTCCTAAACTGATATCTAAAAATTATGATAAGTTTTTAATGTAATAGTGATTAAAATCACTCCTTTGAATAAGACAATATATTTTTAGGACAGTCTTTAATAGTCTAGATTTTCTTAAAAATTATTTTTCTGGGGCCGAGCCCGTGGCACACTCGGGAGAGTGCGGCACTGGGAGCGCAGCAGCGCTCCCGCCGTGGGTTCGGATCCTATATAGGGATGACCAGTGCGCTCACAGCACTCACTGGCTGAGCGCAGTGTGGCTGGTCTCAAAAAGGACAAAAAAAAAATTATTTTTCTGAAATTTAAGCATATCTCATGTTACAAGAACAGACATCCAAGTAAAAGAGCAATTAAAGGGCCGGCCCGGTGGCGCACTGCTACAGTGCGCCGCTTGGGAAGCGCGGCGGCGCTCCCGCCGAGGGTTCGGATCCCACATACAGACCGGCCGCTTACTGGCTGAGCGAGGTGCGAGAGCAACACCGAGGGTTGTGATCCCGTTGCCGATCCCGGTCCGGTACGGGCGCAACACTGAGGGTTGCGATCCGATGCCAGTCACGAAAAAAGACAAAAAGGAAAAAAAAAAAAAAAGAGCAATTAAAAAATAAAGGGAAGGTGCCGGCTCCGTAGCTCACTCAGGAGAGTGCGGTGCTGGTAGCGCCGAGGCCGCGGGTTCAGATCCTATATAGGGATGACCAGTGCGCTTACTGGCTGAGTGTGGTGCATACGACACCAAGCCAAGGGTTGCGAAACCCTTACCGGTCAAAATAAATAAATAAAGGGAAAAAAATACACCAGTGATCAATTGTATTGCTCTAAATCTCAAGAATTTAATATTCAGCTGAAGAAACACATTAATACCTCACTACACTGAATTAACTACCAAACTGGCAGCACATTTAGAACTCGTTTTGGAAAGTTCTTTCATATACTCTCAAATATAAAGCAATATTGTAAAACAGAATGAATACAAATTTTGCAGTCAGATAGACCTGGATTCAGCTCTATATCCCATCATTTAATACATGTGTGAACCTGGGCAAGTTTCTCTACTCCTCTGAGTTTAAATTCCACGTATGCAAAATGAAAATAATATTATCTTTATTGAATAACTATTTTTTTTTTCCTTTTTGTCTTTTTTCGTGTCCGGCAACGGACTGCAACCCTCAGTGTCGCGCCCGTACCGGACCGGGACGGCAACGGGATCGCAACCCTCGGTGCTGTGCCCGCCCCTCGCTCAGCCAGTGAGCGGGAACCGGTCTGTATGTGGGATCCGAACCCTCGGCG